AGGCATAGGTAGAGTTGCAGTTGTGTGTGCCTGGGGCCAGGAACTGGGTAAACACACCCTCACACAATCCTTTGCCAGGACAAAACCCCTACTGGGCTTTAAAAGTTTTCACCAGTAGCCTCCTGGCTGCAGTAAATAGTGTGCTTACTATCTGTTCCTTATATGGGTGTTATTTAGTCTTCCATTTTGCTCATGATCTGAAATACTTCTTCTTCTTCTAAAAATGACTCCAATTTAAATGATTTTGATTCAGCTACATCTAATTTTTGGTGAGTTTGCATATGACTTCCGGTCTGTGTTCAGCTCTGATTCTTTTCCTGGCCCTGTGCACATGGCTCCTCTGCGAACCATTGTGGGTGCCTGTGTAAGGAGAAATGAAACAGGAGGGGCAGCTCACCCGTGAACACAAGGGGCTCCCTTGTCTTTGAGCACCTGACCTTGGGGCACCTCAGGCCTGCACTGCTGTAAAAACAAAATGACTCTCGAATGGCTTGGTAACTGCCTGTGACTCTGGCTCGCTGGATTTCTTGGACATGTCCAGCATCTCGGGATGAATCAGGTGCACGGGTCAAGACTGATGACGTTGTTTCTTAGCAGTGTTTCTGCTGATGCTTTGTAGAGCTCAGCCCTGGCACGGGGGCTCTTGATGTAGCTTCCGTCTACCTTGCAGTTGATAGAACACAGAAAGTCTCCTGTGCCTGCCTTTGGGAAAGGGTAAGCAGCCCAGAGGCTTTTGCCAGCATCCCAGATCACACTAATGAACCTTCTTTTTGTGAATGGCCCTGGGCAGAGTTGATCTCTGGGCAGAATTCTTATGTCTTTATTCCTGTCATCATCATCATTATTCTCTGCAGTGTGTCACATCATTTTCAAAACGTCACTTCTTTATTCCCCTCAGCATCCCTGAGTGGTAATTACAGCAGTGAAGTACTGGCTGGTTTTTAGCTGTGATACAGGTTAAGCGCACACACTCCAGAGCCAAGCTCCCCTAATTCATATCCTGGACCCACCACTTCTAACTATGTGACTATGAACACTCAACCCCCGCCCCAGGCCTTAGCTTCCTCATTTATACAGTGGGAGTAACAACAATTCCTGCCGCCTTTTTTGATTATTATGATACAAAACTGACTAAATATTTGTGATATGTAAGCAGTAACTGACACAGAATAATCACAATTAAAAGTACTCGTTTTTAGTATTACCCAGCCTTCCCACCTCCATCACCCCTGTCATCACCACCACCATCATCTCCACTTTGAGGGTCCAAGATTTTGTGACCTGCTTGAGACCCCATATCTAGTACAGGATGGGCTGAACGTTCAGCCTAAGTGTCATTATCTCCAAGAGATGGGGACTTTTTTCCTCTTGGTCTTTATTTTCTTTTTCCACAGTAACAAAAAAATACATTGTTGGTGCAAAAGGCTGAGACGAAATAGACAGCTGCAAGGAGAAAGTGGGGCCCGCTGGCCTGAGTTCTTCCCTGACCCTACCTCTCTGCCCAGAGGCAGCCACAGCAAACCAGTCGGTGTGCATTCTTCCCATCTGCTCTCGAAGTGGGGCACACAAATAAAATCGGTATCCATATACATGTGTGGCCTCCCTAACATAAATGATAGTAACAGTGCCTGCTGTGTTGCATTGTTGAAGGTGTTAAGTAATGCTTTTAAAGAACTTACTGTAGGGCAGCACCTGTGGCTTAAAGGAGTAGGGCACTGGCCCCATATGCTGGAGGTAGTGGGTTCAAACCCAGCCCCTGCCCAAAAAAACTGCCAAAAAAAAAGAGAACTTACTGTGATATGCTGGGAACTGGCACCTCATTACTAATGTGGAAGCTGAATATTTGAGAGATTGTCACCTGCACAAGATCCCACAGTAAGGAAACTGGATTTGAATCCAGCGTGGCCACATTTCCGGCCACTACTGTATGTGGCAAAATGCTATCGGCATTATTTTTTGCTTATTTTTTTTTCTTTTAGTAATATTAGTGTATACTTTTTCCATGTAAGTGCATATAAGCTTACTTCATTTTTTTTTTAATGGCTGTGTATGATTCAATGTTTCATTTAAATACTTCCTTTTTGGGGTTGTTTTCTGTTTGTTTTTTGCTGTTATGAGTAACACAGTACTGAATATCTTTAATACTTACACTTTTGGGCACATAAGTGAGAAATTCACTAGGATAGGTTTCTAGAAGTGGAATTGTGATGTGGGACTTTGTACATAGGGAATTTTAATTGATGTTTCCAAGTTGCCTTCAAAAAAGGATTTTGCTCACCGACAGCCTATTTGATAGGAATGCCTATTATTTTTTACATTAGTCTTCTTTCTATCTTTGCCAATTTGATGAAGAAAGTTTTTTTTTTCTAAATTGTATTTCTAATTACTGGTAGGATTGAATGAATTCTTTGTTTTTTAGATCATTTGCATTTTCCATAGAAATTTCCTTTTGCTCATATTGCCACTTATTTTTATTGTAGACACTCTTTATATATTCAGGATAATAATCCTTTGAAATGAATAGAAAGTATTTTCTAAAAATTATTTCTCTTTTACCATTGTTTTCTGTCTAGAAATTTTTATTATTTTTCTTACTTTTTTTTTTTTTTTTTTTGGAGTCAACTTCAGTAGACTACCATGGCATCACAGCTCACAGCAACCTCAAACTCTTGGGCTCAAGAGATCCTCTTGCCTCAGCCTCTCAAGTAGCTGGGACGACGGGTGCCCACCATAACACCCAGCTGTTTTTTAGAGATGGGGTCTCACTCTTGCTCAGGCTGGTCTCAAACTCATGAGCTCAAGCGATCCACCTGCCTCAGCTTCCCAGAGTGCTACGATTACAGGTGTGAGCCACCAGGACTGGGCTATTTTTCTTTATTGTCTATGTCTTGATTTTCCTTGTTTAGGGCAGCCTTCCTACTCCAAGTTTTTAAAAATAGTCACCTATATATTCTTCTAGGACTTCCATCATTTTGTTTCTACTTTTAGCTTTGTAAGCTGTCTGGAATTATTTTTGTATAGCTTATGAGTTAGGGATCTAGATTTATCTTTCTCTAAGTAGAGACCCAGTACCTCACCAACTCATTTGAAACATTACCTTTATCACAAACTAAATTCTCTTGCAGGTCTGGCCAGGCAGCTGGTCCCTCTGATTTAAGTTCTACTCTTACATGTTTTAAAGTATTTTAATTACTGTAGCCTTAGAATAAATTTTTTTTATAGCAAGAGGCAAAAATATTCCCTCAGGGTAGTATTCCCTAGGATGACACTCAGCCCAGGTGTCGTATCTCCAAGAGATGGGGGCTTTGTATTTTTGTGTATTTTTTTCTTCCATGCGAACATAGAGAAGCAGACTATTAAAGTCTGTGAAGGAGACTCCTGGGGGTATTTTGATTGTGAATACATCACTTTAATAAGTTTTATTATTTCCCTGAGACAAGATCCTGCTCTGTCACTCTGAGTAGAGTGCAGCAGCCTCATCACAGCTCCCTGCAACCTCAAACTCCAGGGCTCCAGTGATCCTCCTGCCTTGGCCTCCCAAGTAGCTGGGACCACAGGTGCATGCTGCCATAGTTGGCTACTTTTTCTGTTTTCTGTGGAGATGGGATCTCCCTCTTGCTGAGGCTGGTCTCAAAATCCTAGCCTCAAGTGAGTCTCCTACATTGGCTTCCCAGAGTGAGGGTACAGGTGTGAACTGCCAGGCCCAGCCCCGCTCACATTTGACCCCAGATGTCTTAAAGGCTGAAAGTATTTTGTGTTGATATTTCCTATACTTCTCTTATCATGTTCACTCCCACCCCCAATTCCTGCCCAAAAAAAAAGAAAAAATTTTTTTTAAATAAAAATATCGCCTGGACAAGATCATATCCCCACTTCTGGAATTTTCTGGCACACGTTACTGAAAAGATTTCATTCCTAGCTTCTCATTTAAATAAGTTTTTTTTCCCACTTGATTATCTTGAGGACCTGACCACCATCCCACACTCTAGTTGGGAAGCAGCTCTTACAGTTTCTCCAGGAAAGTGTGAGGAGTGAATCACCCCCTGCCGTCTGAAGTTCATGCAGGTTCAGGTGCAGGATGCAGCCACTTCTCTTTCTCAGCACTGCCTTGTACATGGTCGGCGCAAAAGAGATGTTTTCACAATTGATTGATGAAAAGGACTTAATCACAGAGTTCAATTGATCATTTTATGCTGGTGATGATTTTTTTGCTAGACTGTGAGTGAAAGGATTTTGTTCTTGTCAGGCATGCATTGGGAGCCTGACCCTGATGTGACTGGGCACCTGTCTAGAGAATTGTCCCTGTGTCCAGTGACACTTTGCTTTGGGAAAGTCAACACCTGCTGTGATAGCATCTGTCACATTAGGAATGTGAAATGCCCATGCGGAGCCCCTCAGAAGAATGCCTTCCTCAGAAAACATGGGAACAAGATCGTGATAAGCAGCATAGAAGAGAATTTGGCCTCCCTCTGAGCTAAAAGCAATAGATAATGTATTTTACTATGGTTTTATGATGGTTTTTCTCACCTTGGTGCAAACTTATTATTTTCAGATTGTTTAGCCAAGAAAGCAAGAACCTGCTAAATATAAAGATCATTACTTTGGGGGGTTCATATAAAGCAACATTAGCCTCCAACATAAATTTGAACATTAATGTTTGGGAGGTGGGGTTTCTGGGAGATGGAGGGGACTCATCTCAGGCAGATGGTGTGTAACTGGCAGCTGCCCAGCAAAGCCCAGGTCAAGAGAACCGTGGAAGCCGGAAGCCCTGAGAGGCAGCCTCACCCAGCGGGGAGGACGAGCTGGTCGTCCAGTCCCTTCCAGTTCCAACGAGGTCGGATTTAGCTTCTAGTGCTGCTGGCTTAGGAAGTTAGGTCGATTGAACAATTGTGTTTCCTTTTCCAAAGTCTTCTCTTTTCTTCTAAATCCCCAAGCCCTGGAGAGTGTCTGAGAGCCATGACGAGGAGCAGACCAAATGTCCCCTACCTTTTCTCTTGCAGGCAGGTGACAAACATTACCACCCCAGCTGTGCACGATGCAGCAGGTGCAACCAGATGTTCACAGAAGGAGAGGAAATGTATCTTCAAGGTAAGGGATACTGAGAACTCTAGTTTTCCCTACTCAGAAAAAGAAAATCTTGCTGTTTGATGGACTGTTTTTAAAGGAGGCATTTTATTCGCTGTGAGGCTACCCAAATCCAACATGAATGTGGCCAAAAGTTACCTCATCAGTTACTGTGAATCAGCTGAGCAATTGACGTGCTGGCAGGGAGCCCCCGAGGCTGTTAACAAATGAACTCGGGGTTGCCCCTTCCTTACAACAAACAGGACTGGACCTTGATACCGCGCTGTGAAGGAAGAGTGCAATCGATCAGCAATATGTCCTCTCCGCCTCTCCCTGGGAATGTGCTTGGGAAGCAAAAGATTAATAGAGAGAAAGCGTTTCTAGAAATATTACTTATCTGACAGCTACTTTGTCCTCCTTTCACTGTCCTGTGAGAAGGATTTGTGTGTGTGAGCGGCCTCCCAGGTTGCTGTTCTGTGGGCATTCAAGAAGATAATCGCAGACTTGGTGAATTACATCACAGACGTATTTCATCCCACTAAGATGACACACCTCTCCTGTTAAGGGGGCGAGACGGAGACAGAATGAGAGCTAACACAGGAGAACACGTCCAGGGTCCCTGAAAGAGAATCCAAGAAGTTGGTGATGACAGGGAAGTACTCATTGTATCAGAGAGCCGTCAGATTTATTTTAATTGAAAATAATTTTGAGAAACTTTCCCACCCTAAAACTATGATCAGTTTTTATTGCCTCTCAAATTCCAAAGCTTCTCAGAAAGGCTTTAGGAGAGGATTCTCTTCTAGTCAAATGGTACCATCTGTGCAAGCATTTTACTATTTTTAGCTGGAAAGAGACTCATTAATCAGACAAGTTTTAGCTGTAAAATTAGTAAGAGCTGTAGAGCTGCTGTGGCTTTCTGGCTTTGGTAATTACTAGGTCTCCAGCGCTTTCACGAGTCATCTCTTTATTTCTGTTTACACATAATGCTATGTGTATTTTTAATTAATGGTTTGCTTGGCTCTCTCAATATTTTTTGTCCATTAAAAAAAGTCTATAGAAATGATGCCTGAGTATTAAAGTAAATACGGCCTGGGTTGCTGTCCCCTACAAACATCTAGCTAGACAAGAAACTGACAACCCAGACTTCCTTTTAGCTTTAGAATAATCGCTCTGAAAAACTGTCATTAGAAACATCGTTGTATTTTGAAGGACCCTGTGAAGGCAAGTGACAGGCGCCCCCCTCTGTGGTCTCACTCCAGCGTTCTGTGACACATTTTCCCAAGAAAAGGCTGTCCATGTGCAGAGGCAATAGACGGATGTCACTTTGCATTTTTCAGCACAAAGCAGACTGAGGCTTCATTTGGTCTCTAGGCTTTGCATTAGATTTGAGTGTGTCAATTAGAGTACTCAAAAAGCAAAGACACAGGGGTGCAGGCCAACCCTGCCTCTGCAGAGAACAGGGGCAAAGGCTCAAGGCGCCATCCTGCAGGTCCGAAGCGGCAACGCAGGCTGAAGGGAGAGGGTGGCACAAAGACAGCGTGTGCACACCACAAGTAGACAACTATCTGTTAAGGCTGCGTTCGGAATCCAGGGATCATTCTAAACCTTCTGCAGTCATGCTCTGGTACCCTTCGCCTCCCTTATTGGCACATGTTTGAAGAATGAGCATTTTCATCTTCCTCACCATCTGATGTCCTGTCCGAGTCACATTCCTTGTGTGTCTGACCTCCAGAGAACAATGTTGCCATTGTGTGCAGACCCGGGGTTCTGGCCAGTGACTCCTCCTGAGAACCTTCCTCGCGATTGCCTCCCCGGGGCCTGACCCCTGTGCTCTCCACGCTCAGAGGATTTCCTATGCTTTGTACTCAGCCTTTGAGCCAGTGTTAGTGCTAAAGGGGCCTGTACATCTGTCTGCTTTTTGTTTGTTTTTCTTTTCCTTTTGTTTTTTTTTTTTCCGGGGGAGGGGGTGGCCTGGGTTAAATAAGATGAAAATGATTGTTCAATAGGAATGAAAATATCTTTCTGATGTAAAAGCATTTTTTCCTGGCATTAATTTTATCATAGCTCTGTGGTATAAAGTCATTCATGAGCTATTTTAAGTTGGTGACTTTTTGAGTACACAGAGATAAAGATTTTAAATCATGCAATGCAGATAAGTCTGAATCTGCTACAGATCTTATATTTATGTAAGGTATGTAATTTGCCCACTGCTTTCAATATAGTAACTTTATTTGCTTTAGTCTTTTTAACTATTTGTTTAAATTCTGCCCATCTCCACATTTGAACATGGACAGGGGGCTTATATATCATCCTTACCCATAATCATTTACATGACGTATGAGAGCAGGCATTGGATTCTTAGAAGATAAGAACTTCTATTAGAGATAGTGTTTTGCTTAATTCCATGATGCTGGTACCATTGTGAAGGTGCCCCATAGTCCAAGAAACAGAGATAATCTTAAAAAGTGAAGCTTTTCACCCGGGAAGAGAAAATAACCCTATGTACTTACTTTACTAGTTTCAAAGTAAAGACTTTTTTTAAAAAATTAAAGGTTGAAATCTAAAGGAAACATTTGTATTTATAACATAATTTTCAACCTTCCTACCAGTTGGCTTAATTTCTTATTTAGGTATAGGTAACTGTGTATAATTGGGTCTATGAAAAATTCAAGCAAGTTTTGCTTCTGGATATGGACTAACTGGCTTGACTATTTGGCTCAACAAAATTGCTTGTTTTGATATTATATAAACAGGACTTACATTTCTGAAGATAAATGCAGCTCTGGAGTAAGCACTTAGACCTTACCTTTAAAGAATAATAATATGGTTTAAAAGTACAAAGAGCCAGTCAAGAATTAAACATCTCTTGCACTAAAACACTTCTGCCCAGTGAGTGATCTCTGTGGTCTGGAATGATGACCTTTATAACACAAGCTCAGGCCTGAGTTTGAAGTTGTTTGATTTCAGGCTCGTGGTTTACGGGGCCTGGGGCTCTAACACTCCTGTGACGGGAAGATGAGCCCTTCTCAGAAGTTCTGTCTAACAAGACTTTGTACCTTTCCTTTACTCTAACTTGTGTCTTTCAGGTTCCACCGTCTGGCACCCCAACTGTAAGCAATCTACGAAGACAGAGGAAAAGCTGCGGGTAAGGAAGCAATTAGAGCTGCGATGTCAGGTGCATTTTTAGGCAATCTGCTTCCTGGTCACTGACTCTTGGTGCTAGGGTATGGGTGCAATGGCCTTTTACTGACTTGTTCCCCCTATAGCAAACCAATTCCAAAGGCCATTTTGTTAGGGAGGGAAGTTCCCTCTTACCTTAAATTTATCATTGAGGTTTTTGTTCCAAATGCTTATGCTAGACAAAGTAAGCCTTGCCTCACCAGTCAGCTTCTTAGGAAAGCGTTCAAGGGAAAAGTCAAAATATACAGATGGGAAAAAAATGATTCATACAAGTTCTAAGTGCAACATCTGGTGACCTTCTTGCCAGACTTTTTTTTGTACTTAAGCTGTAATGTACCACTCCAACCCAAACTCTGCTTCCATTGCTCAGCTCTTGGTATAATTTACTGATTTCTAAGTCCAAATTGACCTTGGGAGAAATAATGATGAGCCCAGGCGTGTTAATTAATCTCAGAACACCTCTGGATGGCAGCATTTCATCTGTTTCAGAAGCAAAGAACTGAACACAGTCACAAAGTCACGATCATAATCCATATCCTATTTAGATGCCCCCAGTGAAGTATTTTTCAGTGTGATAGTCGGACTAAATGAGTCCCGGTCCCTCAGGTTACCTAACTTACTGGTACGTGTGGAAAAACTGGAGTTTGGCTTCATTCCACTTGCCGTCTCAAGGAAAATGGCCTAGATTTACTTTGGAGGCCAGACTCTAGTGCACAGTATAACTTCTCCCTGCTCTGCTATTATCAGGACCAGGGGCTGCAGAAATTATCCTCTGCAGCAGCGCAGCCAGTTCATGGGTGGGAGGTCACATGCGACTTGTCAGGGGATGACTTAGCTTCAGAGTAATGGCTCCAGCGAGACCCAGTCGTTCTGGGTTAGACCCTTTGCCTGCCACCTTAGGAATAACAGTTCTTATTCTCTAATGCCTTTTCTTTATTCTCTTCAATGACACACATGTACAAAAGCTTTATTTTTCCTCTTCAACTGACATTAATAAATCAGATGGAGACAAGTCACCATTGGGATGTTTGAGAAACTCGTCCCTTGCCTGTGACTTTTTTTTTTTTTTGGGGGGTTTTTTTTTTTTTTTGGCCCAGGTTGGGTTTGAACGTGCCACCTCTGGCATACGGGACTGGTGTCTTACTCCTTTGAGCCACAGGCACCGCCCCCTTCCCTGTGACTTTGAACCAAAGTCGTTCTCTTAGAATCCATGATTAATATGAAGCCTACTTTAAGTGGAGAAAGAAACCACTTTTTCTTCAAATAACTGGATAAGAACAGCTGGAGAGGAATTCCTCTGTGCATGTTAGGACGGTTCCGCTCTCTATTTCAGACATGAGGCTTCAGCGGGAGCCCGGGGGCCACCACACACAGGGGCAGTCGCCCAGCCCTGTGCACTACACTGTAGAATTTTTGAGGAACCATAAATGCTTTGGAAATTAGTTATCTTTATAAAATACAAGAATATTAAAGATCGTTCTATTGTCACGTTTATCATATAAATGTAAAATTCACAACATGCCTTGGGGCTGCTGCCAGAAACCACCCAAGTGGCTAATGGTTTGCACTATCTTTATAGTGTCGTTTTAGGTTTTTTGTTTTGTTTTGTTTTTAAATAACCATTTTTCCTTCACCCCTGATAAAGTATTTTGGGAGGGGAAGAGAGGGATGCTGATGAGGCCAGACTGAAAGGAATGTGTCTTTTCCCTCTTAGGATTGCTTGAGTTTGCAGACTGTGTCACTAACATGATAAAAAAAAATTTTTTTTTCTTTATCACATCTTGAGGGAAAACTCTCTAGATAAGCTTATGAAAACAACTAGTAAAATACTTCCACCCGTTCTGACCAAGAGGAGCTATTGTTTTCTTCCTTTAGTAAGCTTTCCGGAGAGTCCCAAAGCTTTTCTCCTACACTTAGCTTTTGCTCTTGGGAAGTGGGGTCAGCCTCCGGGACTTGGGAAGCCAGGAGTGTGCAGGGCAAGAGGTACGAGTGCCCAAAGTTGGGGTTCACGCTGACGTCAATGGGGCTTAGGGGAGAATAGGTTTTGAGTAGAGAAATAAATCTTGTGCTCTCTTAAGGGTGTGTCTACACATCACAAATCTTGAGCCAAGATTTCCGTGCCTCTCCTGGCATGTCCCATTAGTACAGTTTCCATAGCAAAGTGAAAATGTTTTAAGGATCTTTCAGCCGCCCCAGTGAGTAATCCACATTGTTTATATTTAAAAACTCACGAGGCGTTTGTAACAACAGATTTTTAAGAATGTCTCTCATTTGGCTTCAGTGGCTTCTTACCCTTCATATATTGTAAGAATGTCTATGCCAAAATAAATAGAAATTGAAGGGGATTGGAACTTCGATAAATTCATTGTAATATAAAGACCAATTAATATGCTTTTAGATGTGGACTGAACGAAAATAATATCATTTAATGTTTACTATCAAGTTATGTTTTTCCCTAAGATTTTTTTAAATAGTATTTCTGAATTGAGAATATTTCTTTGTTCATTCTCCTTTTTCTCATGTTTCATGGCAGCTGCCAAAACCTCACCGATCTTCATCCGATTTCTTTTATCCCAAAAGTCTGATCCGACGCACGGGACGATCTCCTTCCCTGCAGGTTGGCACTGTGTCCGGGCGGGGCTCAGAGCCACTGTCTGGGGCCAGTTCTGTCGCTTTGCCCTGGGGCTGCCCTTCTCACATAACCTCTCCAGCTCCTGCAGAAGGCAATGCTTTTCTCACCCCACGAGTGCACCTCACATTCTGACTCTGGCTTTCTCCTCTGGTCAATGTTTTCACGCAGAGCAGCAGCTAAAGCGTTGCCTTTATTAAAGCAAGCACATCAGAAGCTGCTCTGGGGGTTCTGTTGCCACATTTGTTTGGTGAACAAATACCTGCCAAGTGCCCAGGTATAGTTCATGGGCTGGATATAGCTGGATATAGCTGGGCTGGATGCTGCAGATTTAGCCTGGTAGGAAAGAAAAGATGGATATACACGTAATTAGGAGGTGACGCAGAAACATATCACTGGATATGCATCGCATAGGCCACATTCTTGGGAATATCAGATGAGGGAAAGGTCTCATGGGGCACTTGCTAGGAGAAGTGGTCCTTAACAGGAGAAGCGTGCTGCTGTAAAGCAGTGCTTGGGGAGGGAGGAGTTGGCCCACAGAAAGCAGTGAAGTGGGAAAGAAAGCAACTGAGGGCAGAGGCTGGGGATGGACATACAATCTCAGGTGCTCCCCCATGAGGATTTCTGCCAGCTGGCTCATCTCATTCCCATTTTACAGATGGGGAGACTGAGACCCAGCAGAGTTAAGTACCTTCTCCAGGTTTATCCTACTGGTAAGTGGAAGAGCGAGAATTAGAACCAGGCTCCCAGGAGCCCATAGCTCATGTCTCCACCGCAGTGGGGTGGAGCAAGAACAACAGGGGAGACAGGAGGAGGAGGATGTTAGATAGTGGCTCAGCTGTTGTAGGGAGAAAGCCGCCCCACCTGCCAGGGCCAGGACTAGCCAGGCAGGAGATGATACTCTGCACACAGCCTTGACCTTCTTCAGGGGCCTCTGGGAATTAGTGGAAACCTTGGCCCGGTAAACTAGAAGTGACCTTCCACAGTCCCATGCTGGCCCAGATGAAACCCATCCCACCACCTGCGGACAATTCAGGATCACGCTGCAGCGCTTTAACCGGGGCCACACGTTTTTACTGTGCCTGTCAGAACTGTACTAAGGAGGAGGAGAGTTGGCTTTCTATCTATTTTTATTAAAACTTTACCTTCTTTCTTAATGATAAAAATGTTTAAAAACCCAGAAGCCTAGAATTTTGAGCCAAGAGAGAAACCTTTTAGAGGTCACCCCCCCCCCCATTTCTTCCTCTATTGAATGAAGACAGACCAAGCAGCACACCCGAGGCTGTGCAGGCCGTAAATAGCAAGACAGCCCCAGACGGGGATGCTCTGGCTCCCAGCCTCAGGCCCCTCCTTGGGGCTGTGCTCCTGTGACATGATGTATAATAATATTTGTCACATAATCTTCAATCTCTTTGAAAGCTTCGGCTCCAGTGGCCATGTTTCCACACACAGTGAAATCAGCCTCATTAACCCAGAGGAGCAGCTGAAGATTCCCCCCCACCCCCCACCCCCGACAAAGGAGGATGGCTCAGAATTAGGGCCTCTGCTTGGCGAGAAGTTACTTTTTCAATAGTTTTTTGTTGTTGTTCTTTTTCCCAGTAGCATATACTTAACCCAGATAGTGTTGTATTTTGTTACCCTAAGGCTATACCCAAGTGATGGCTTTTTACGACTGAGAGAAAAATACTGTTCCCAAATGTGAAGCTTTTTGGTTTGTTCCATATCCTCAAGTTTAAGAGATTTGTCAGGGGTGGGGAAGAAATCTGTTTTTAATAACTTCTCTCCTCCTCTTCTGTTGTACCAGAGGGACATCTGATTCCCATCACCCAGCTGTAAATATCAATGAAGTCAACTCGAGCCCCATCACAGAAAGTTGTAAACGGCTTGGGACCTGGCAGGGTCTCACCTCACCCACAGGCGGGTGAGGAGGACTCACCAGAACCTTGAGGAAGCCGGAAAACTCCAAGCGGTGCAGTCCTCAAGGCACAGATACTGTGATCTATTAAGTACTTTGACCTACACGGCAGTTCATTTCCACCACATAAAATTAAACACCCCTAGTTATTAGATAAACCACCTCAACTCCTCGTGGGAATATTCAGTACACGGTGCCCCAGAAATAAGTCCTGGTTTTGCTATGGAGGAAAGTCAGATTTACAGCAGGAAAGTCATTTCATTATTTGTGTTGGGTAATCGCTCCATCTTTTCCCTCTCACCTGAATTATAGGTAAAGGAAAATGATGAAAATTTAGAATTACCTAAGAAAAACATACTCTGGTTTCGTATAAATGGCCACTTCTGTCTCCAGTTAAAACTCAGTACTTCGTGGGTGTGATTCCGCATAGACAAAGCCGTGGTATTCCCAGGACCAAGGCTGGCTCTTCCGTGGGTCATGTGCTTTCATTCTAAAAAGGAGGTCCTCAACTGTATCTTTGGAAGCTAAAGCATGAATTGACTGACCTATAGGATGGGCATGAGATTTTTTGCCTTGAAACTAACGTTCACCTATTATAATGAATGCACTTGCAAATCTAAACTATACAGAACAGACACCACGTGTGTACTTTTTTTAAAGGAGCTAATCAGAGGCCTTGGGTAGAGCAGTGAGCCATGCCGTGGTGGGGTCGGGTTCCACTCACGTCACTACAGGGCTCCCTGCTTATCGCCAGCTTTCACTTCCTTCTGCGATCTTACCCTCTTCAGTGTGTCCCTGCAATTCCCGAGTCAGTCAGACGTCGAGGTGTTCAGATTTATACAGGAAAGATGGTCTCGTAAAGGCTCATGGCGTTTGTGAAGCCATCTCCAGAGAAGGGGTGTGTGTGTGCTCACTTCCTGCCTCCTCTCCAAACACAAATCCTTTTTCTTCCAAAGGAGTTGACTTCACCCTTTCTTTACTGAGCAAATGGATATTCGGTATGTGCAGATTTTAATAGTATTCCTTCTCCTGCAGCTATTATCACCACCTTGTCTAGTGAACTTCAACAAAAACCCAAGGCAGGTACTGTCCCCGTCAGCAGTACTTAGTGTAAGGTGTGGGTCTATCAGTAGTTGTCCCATAGACGTTCCTAAGATCGTTCCGATCCGGTTGCCCGCCGCTGCCCGTAGTCTGTCTCTCCTTAGAGCATGCTTTGGATACGTGCAGACTAGATGGGTGTAGCTGTTGCATCGCTGCTCCTGCTCAATCCTGGCGGGGTCTGGGGGGGACAGGGAGGGAGGCCCCAGAGTGCTATGCAGCACTCCCCTCTCGGGGGCCGTGGGCTTGGTGGCCTGTGATTGAAAGCAAATGGAAAATGTCGTTTGTCCATTTACAACACAAACAGAGCCCTGGTCAGTGTTTTTAATGGTCCGTGTTTGAAGAAGGATGAACACTGGTGTGGAAACATAAAAGGATTTCTTCAAGTGATTTTCATTGTGTGATTGTGCCTTCTGCATGGTTGGAAAGATGGACAAAGCCAAAGCACGGGGGAGAACCAGCTGAGGGTCGTGAGGGGTCTTTAAAGGGGATTTCATGCAGAATACAAAAAGATGCTTTTTTTCCAAGCATCTAGCTACTTATTAGGGATTAAATACCACTTTTTCTTGTTGAAATGAACTGCTAGTCTTCTGCTGAGGCCTCTCGTTGTTAATTTTTTTTTTAAACAAAACCGTATTGAAATCAAAAGTGAATACACAAAGATGCAGTGACTGAACCACTCTCTATGAGAGTTGGAGCAAAGACAGCCAGGTACAACTAGAGCAGTGGTGCTCAACCTTCCTAATGCCGAAACCCTTTAATACAGTGCCTGTGGGTCGTGACCCTCGGGTTGAGAATCGCTGAACTAGAGGGTTCTCATTGAAGGCTCCTTTGTTCTCTCAGCCAAAATCAGGACTAAACTATTTGCCTAATCTTATTGACAGAATTCTTTGAGAGAATACACCCTTTATGATCCTTTATCACTTTGTCTTCTCCATACTTCCCTACCACACCCCTTTTCTTTCTTGTTATATAGTTAATATATATTTGCCAATGATGGCATCCAAAAAAAAAAAAAGACTTGACCTTTGGGGATAAATATTTGAAACTGTCCTCATTTATAATGTACATGAGAGAGTGACTCTGCTTATCATAATTCTCACAGAGAATTCCAGAAGCAAGACTGCTGACTTGTCTAGTTATTAAACTCAGTTCGTAATTACTGGGTCACTGTTACCTTGAACATCTGAGTGGGTTGAGATGGTAATGTAGGTTAAATAATGACACGCAAGGATCATCGGTAGAAATGTGGATCGTCTGTTAAGACCTTGTTCCAGCCTCACAAGATACTGCTGGAGTTGGGTTGATGGTAGAGAAGAAGCAGTCGGTGGGATTTGAAAGCAGGATAGGATGTCAGTAAGTCAGGGCTTTCAAGGTTGACATGAGTTTCAGCCCCAGTGGATATGGTTAGAGGACAGCTCTGCACCTTTGGAAGATGCCTTAGCCAGAACAGCAAATTATATATTCATTAAATAAAAATAAGAGCTGGAAAAATAAAGGGAGTCTTAATAATAAACAAGGTGTTAATTTGAAATTCAGTATGTCTAGAATTCTAGATGTTTAGAATTGAAATGTAAAACTCTAAATATTTAGCATTAAAACTCAAAAGATAACTTGTTCAGTTTTAAAAAAGTAATTTTATGATGTTTATAAAGGGTGAGGCCTCTAACCTCCACCAGTTGAGCAAAGACATTTTGAGAGACATTAGGGATTGTGGCAAAAAACAGACAATCTATGTGTCACTGAAGCCTTGAACATAGTTTGAGAGGCAGCAAATCAGGGACTGTCCTAGCAGATAAGACAGGCCTGTGCAAGGTCATTGTCATTGGCACCAGAAAGCCAGGAAGTCACTGTCTCCAAGAAGATTCAGAATCTCTCCATAGAGTTCTCAAGGGGAGGAAGGGTATTTGTCAACTCCTGGCAGGAAAGCTGCCCCATATACTGTGACAAATTACTTACCATCTCTGAGTTCCGATGGGAAAGAGTCCAAGTGTGGTAGGTGGAGCGCGCTCCAGGGAGGCTGGGGTGCATAATCTCTCATGAAACGCGAAACAGAGGCAGGACCAACCTTCCACATAGGAAGTGGCCAGTAAATGCCAGCTGCTAGGGAGATTCTTGCCACTGAGATTTCATTTGACACTGAATTTGGCACATGCTAGATCCTGACCACCTAAAGCTAAAGAACTACCTGTAGTTAATGATTATCCCGCAAAGACGGATGGAGGTCCAGCTTTCTGTGAGGTGGCATCTCTGTGGAAAGGAGGGCTGCGTTTTGGTTTCTCTACTTCTATCTTTTGATTAGGAAATGGATGTAGAAACTGAACATGTTTCGAGTGATGTTATGTGAACTGTTTCTTCATCAGCACACTCAGACATGGCATTCTCTCATACTGAGATACATCCGCAACTGGCCTAACTCTAGAAAGAAAGCCCTTGTCTGTGCAGATCAGGAAGGGAGGCCCAGGGCGGTGAGCCGGGTGCACCTCCACCTGGGTGCTGTCTTCCCCCCACATACCCCTCAGAGGCCCCAGAGACATCATCCAGGACTGATCAATCACAGTCCTCCAGTGGCTTCTTACTTTCAGAGTGAGGCTCACCACTGAGGGACTGGAACTGGCCGGCATGTTGGCCTTCATTGTTCAGGTGTGAATTATTTGGTGCTGCGACACCCTAGTCTTCCCGAGTCCTTTTGTCTCAGTTGCACCCGTATTCAAGGTGTTAAATATCAGTAGCAATAGTACAGAAGCGGAAAAAGTCTTATTCCTGCCATAGAACTATAAATTATCCTCTGCAGGAAATACCTGCAACAGAGGGGGCAGAAGTGTTCTGAGGCTAGGCCTTTGGTGGTCTCTGTAGAGCTTTCCAGAATATGCTAAACAAAGGGCGGAGGCGGTTGATGCTGGTTCATGTGTTTCCCTCCCTTACTCACCACTTACTCTCCACATCTCCACGTATGGATCACAAAGTCCAGTTTCTTTCATCTTTCCCGAGGCCAGTCACCAGCCTTCCTTACCTCACTGACTCTTTGTGGTTAGGCCCAAATCACTCACTTAACCTGCACCAAATGTCCACAGGCTCAGTGTCTGCTCCCCAGGGGTGAACTCGAGCTCATCCCTTCAACCAGGATTTATGTCTTTTACATACCTGTGCAAAGCTTTGGGTCTACACAGCGGTAACAAGAAATAGTGATGAACTTGATGAGGGCAGAGAACATGACTAAAGTGCATGAGAGCAAGAGGCTGCAAGGAAACCAGTAAATGTCTAATTATAAGTTGTAGTCAGGAAGGAAAAAATGAGAATGACAGGGAAGGGGACCAACTCTGGATTAGAATCAGGGCGGGCCTCTCTGAGGAGGTGATATTTATGCCAAGAATTAAGGGGGAAAATCAAGAACCAGCCAAGTAAAAATGGGAGTGAGCACCCTTCAGGCAGAGACATGGAGGATAAGAAGTGTGAGGCGGGATTCCTCACGTGCCATGTGGTGTGGGTGGTGATGGGCAGTAAGTGACAAGGTGAGACAGAAAGGCAGGGACAAGATCCCAAGCCCCTGGGAGTCATGATTTCATGACTCTGAAGCCAAAAGCAGGATAGTGACAAGCCAAATTATGTTCTTAAAAGATCTCTGTAGCCACTGGGTACCAAGTGGATGTGAGGAAGTCCACAAGGGAGGCCAGGCAGTAACCTAGATGAGCAGAGGGGCTGGCGGGGCTGGGCTGGGGCAGTGGAGATGGAGAGCCAGATGGCCTTGAGGTGTATGGGAAGGTAGGACGAAAAGTTCTCATGGGGAACAGGAAGAGAGAGGGACCAGTACATTTTCAAAGCAGGATAGCACAGCTAGTTCTCACTTGCTGTTCCTTCTAAGTTGTATTTCCCTTTATTGACAAAGATCACAAATCTTTTGTTATTAACTAGCTTAGTTTTCAGGAAAGCTTAAGGGCCTAGACCAGACTGGATTCTGAAGCCATGCCCTGAAATCTTACAAGTCACAATTTGTTTTACAGCCTACCAGGACTTCCTCCGAGAGTATTTATTCTAGACCAGGCTCCAGTATCCCTGGCTCACCAGGTCATACCATCTATGTAAGTATCTACTCTCAGAAGTGACATTTCTGGGGCAGGTAAGTTTGTAGATTGTAATAGCAGAATGAATAATCCAAACCAGAAGCTGATTATAAATAATTTCTATTTCTGTCATGAGGTCTGATGTTTATACATCAGTCTTCTCAATCATATTTTCCTTCAGGTAATTAAATTTATGTGTGACCATAGGTGGAGTGATCAGATCAAAAGATGCTTTGCACGATACAGTACTAGGATGCAAGTCTGAAACTTTCTTGCCTTTGCATGTAGATATTTGAGGATTGATTGTATATTTTATAATGCTGAGGCTGAGTCTGAGTGCTCTTCAATTCTGCCACAAATATATTTAAATATTTAGTTTATTAAATATGCAGCTCTTGTTTTTGGCTATCTGAGAGAATTATGTGACCATCTGTTTGAGCTTTTTCCTTCTCAGTAATAAATTTAGGAAATTGTCTTTAAGGCTTGCATGTTTCTCTGTTAAATGAATTCTATACACATTTTTCTTTCCCCTAAGCTTTCAGTGACTTTTGTAAAAATCGTGCTTGATGTATTCTATAAATGGACAACTTTCTAGAGAGTAGAACTGTGCTAAGCAAGGTGTTTTAGTTTTTATGTTTAAGGTCTTCATTTTTAAACAAGATAAGAAATAGACTAACCATAGTTTCCCAAAGAAATGAGACTACAGAGTAATTTTTTTTTTTTCTGGTTCACTTTGCCAGGCAAAAGTAGACAATGAAATCTTGGATTACAAGGATTTAGCAGCCATTCCCAAGGTCAAGGCAATTTATGATATTGAACGCCCAGATCTTATCACCTATGAGCACTTCTACACTTCGGGCTACGAGGACAAACAGGAGAGACAAAGCCTTGAGGAGGTAATAAATTCCTGGCGCCTGGAGTTATATGACTATTTACCTTCTCGTCTGTCACGTTTCTAAGAACTACTATTTTGGAGTTCAAGTAAATCAGATGATCTTTTGCCTGCCTACTATTTGCAGATTTTGATGCCAGGTGCTCTGAGTTATTCAGAAGCTCATCTCTGCTCTTAGGGAGGTTATGAGAGGTGGGAGCTCAGACCAACCACACATAAAACAACAGTTGAAGAAGAATAAACACCAGCTTGTTGGGTGGAAGCTGAAGTTGTGTGTGCGTGTGTATGGGGGCGGGGGTGCTCCATGAGCCAGGCACAGGATAAGGAAGGAAGGGTCTTCTGGGCATCTCTGTCTTAAAAGAAGCTGCAACTATATTCACAGGATCAGGAAGAGAAAGAGCACACCCCCATGCATTTTGGTAGCTACAGTTTTCAGCATCTTAAGACAATTATTAATAGAATATTCAAAAAAAGAAAAATAGAACAGGGCAACAAGATAGCACTATGGCATGAACTAGGGTTCTGGGATCGGTACCTGGTCTCAGCCCAGGGTCTCCGCATGCTGATTGTCTGTCTTTGGCCACGTGACAAGCATCTGATCCTGGTTTCCTCACCTGTGAAGCACAGACTAGTGCTAGACTCTGGCTCATCAGGTGTTAGGGTTACATAAATTAATCTGTGTAAAGCAATCAGCAGAGGCCAGATGGTGGGGAAACTCCAGCTCATGGCAGCTTATCCCCCTGTCCCCCTGGGGCTTATTTGTACCCTGCCAGGGCTGTTTCCCTGGCCTGTTCAGCTCGCTCTAATTTTTTCCCCTTTTGTCTGTTAAATTGGAACCCTCTATAGACTGATTTGAATACTCAGAGAGATTCCACCCAACTAGTTGACTGAACTCAGAGGTTCAACCAAGTGAAACGATCTATAGCATTATCCAGTGCTCTGGGGTTGTGAGTGAGTTGAAGAAAAGGCATGAAACTGACAATTCTGTTTAGCTTGTCCTCACATATATAACATTTATTTTATAACTATATATGTTACTCCTTTGTGTTCTTTTATTTATTATTAAATCATTCGTACCTAGATCATAAATACATTTATGCCATCATAAGATTCAATGTGTTAATTGTTTGTACAAATTGGAATGCTTACATCTCACTAAGCAACATAGCCTTCTCCACTTTTACCCAATTACAGGATTAAGACATTTATGCTCTACAGCTGATAGATCCAACTTGTACTTGCAATATGTTCCATAGGTGTGATGCCCCTACCGACCCTCCCTCTATCATCCCCCACTTCCCTTCCCCTCTCCCTCCCCTTCCTTCCTTCATCCTTAGGCTATAGTTGTGTTATATTTTTCACATGCATGTGTGAGTGATTGTAAATTGGTTTCACAGTAGTACTGAGTGTAGTTCGCCATTGAAACAATCCACTGGGCTGAAAGTGACATCCGTTTTTATATAGTGCCACCTAGTGGTTGCCTGGCTGTAGCTGCATCTGTGGCCTCATGCAGGTGGATGGGCTGGGGTTGTTCGGTGCCAGTGAACGGGAGAGTTTCATAGGGCATAAAGGGCAGGGGGAGGTTCCTCAGCAAAGCCCATAGGGGCTAGTCTCAGAGCAAGTGGATGAGAATTCACTAAAATTAAGTCATACAAACGTGTGACTGGATATGAGGGGTTTTTAATGGGTGTTGATAGAGGCATGTATGTCTGTGTGTACTTCTTAGCAGAACTATCTTGGGCAGCCAAAGGGCTAAAGAGCTTGGACATTAAGGTGAAAATTTCTACATTTAAAACCAGACTCTGATATTTACCAACTGTACCCAACTTTGGGGAAATGACATACCTCAATGTCATTTGTGTAAACTCAAGACGGAGACCAATAACACCTACCTTAGAGGTTTTCTCTAAGCATTAGTTGATATATTTGAGTTAGAAGAGTCTGTGGTGCTCATCAAAAATGCTAGAAGCTCCCATGATCGGCACTATTACTGTCGTAACCTGGCGTGATGTCCTGTGGTTTTCTCTATGCATAGAAAAAAAAAATGTGGACCAGAAATCAGGTGTATTTGTGAACTTTTCCCCAATACAGGGATTTTGCAACTGAGAAAACTTTACAAACTAGTCTGTTATTTGTACCATTGGTTTTTAACACTTCTTTTTTGGAATCCACATACATATTGGCATAGTTGAAGTGCTATAGGAGTGAACTTGAAATTCTGTGTAGCCACTCCTGCCTCCAGAGCCCTGCTGTCAGCACAGGGGCAGACCTGGACCCTGCCCCAAGGAGCCCAGCCTTGCCAAACTGAGACAAAGGAGACAGGCAGTAGCTATAGATGAGACCAGGGGCTTGGGGAGGTTTGCAATGGTAGGGAGTCTGCCAGCTTATTATACACATGGGGGGGAAGACAAATTCTAAAACTGAGAAATGCACCCTTGGCTGTGTTCTCCAGACTGCTCTGTTTTCATTTAATGTCTTTTTGCAACCTTTTTGCATTTTAATTGTAAATATTTCACTTATTCAGAAGATATTAAGTGAGCATCTAACCTGTTCTAGGAGCTGCTCTCATCACTGGGCATACGTAGTTGTGAGTGAACAGAACCCTTGCCCCCTGGGAACTTGTGGTGCCGTGTGGGAGATAGTAAACAGACAGACGTGTAACGTAGTTTTACAGAGCCATGAGGGAGCCATGAGGGAGAATGAAACAGAATAAGGAGAAAGCACCTCAGGGGCTGGGTTTCTCCTTTAAGCAGGAGAGTCATGAAGGTGCTACATGATAAGGAGTTTGAGCAGAGACCTCACTGCACATGGGGAGTGAGCCCTGCAGGTGTCCAGGTGAAGAGCTCTGGTGGCAGATGAGGCAGCAAGTGCAAAGGCCCTGGGGTGAGAGAGGACTTGGCCTGTTGATGGCCCCAGGGAAGCCTGTGTTCCTAGAAGGGTGGAAGCCAGTGGGGGATGTTGGTGAGGCAGCAAGGACAGGATGCCACATGCCTTGTTATCACAGTCCTCTTCACAGTGAGTGCTGTGGTTATAATTTAGTTAACAACCATGTTCACAAAAGCCTACATGTCAGTAAATACTGTAATTCATTGGAGTAAAAGATTCATAGTGTGAATATACAGTTTGAGCCGGGCGTGGTAGCTCACGCCTGTAATCCCAGCACTTGGAAGGCTGAGACAGGTGGATTGCTTGAGCTCATAAGTTCAAGACCAGCCTGAACAAGAGTGAGATCCCATCTCGAAAAAATAGCTGGGCATTGTGGCAGGTGCCTGTAGTCCCAGCTACCTGCAAGGCTGAGGCAAGAGAATCACTTAAGCCCAAGAGTTTGAGGTTGCTGTGAGCTGTGACACCATGACACTCTACCCAAGGCAACAAAATGAAACTCGGTCTCAAAAAAAAAAAAAAGAATATACAGTTTGTCTAGCTTAATCACTTAATTCACACATATCACAAAGTATCACAGCATTCCTATTAAAACATGATTCTTTTTTTTTTTTTTT